GCTGAACAGTAAAGAAACATTCTATGTCATAAAACCAATATATATTTTAGATGGACTAGGTCAATATGGTCCACATGCCCAGAAGCAAAATATAGTACAGCCCTTCCTGGACTATACCATTTTAGGTAGAGAACGACATGATTGAATGCACCCTCACACCAATTGTTCCTCAACTAATAACAAATGTAAGGATTTGTTGAGATTTATATACGCAGTCCACCAAATGAAGAATGAGGTAGCACCAGGGGTCATTTTCTGCAGGAGTGCACAGGAGCGGAGCTCCGGCAGTAAAGAGCCAAGAGGGCAGGCACATGCAACAAGCCCCGCCCCATGCTCCCGTAAGTTACAGAGCCCCCCCATAGATAGCAATCCAAAACAGTCCAGTGGCAGCTTTAAGACCAAGTTTTATTCGGGTACAAGCTCTCCCTCCTTTGTGAGGGCAGATCTGTGTGGGGCCCCGCCCCCATAGCTAGCAATCCAAAACAGTTCAGTGGAGCCTGAGCGGTGGGTGTTGCCTTCTAACACAGTTCCGGTGATATCAGGGGGTGTGGCATGTGCAAATAAGTTATGCTAATAAGTTATGCTAATGAGCTCATGCACCTCTTTTTCTACGAAATGACCCCTGGGTAGCACAGTCAGAGAAGGGATGGGCACAAGCAGGAGCAGGGGACCTCTCAGAATCAGCCACAATTCCCCACCACTGCTCAACAGGACAGCAGGGGGGGGGGGAGTGAAGTGCACCATTAGGCATGATTGTCTAAGATTCACCCGCGACTCCATGTGGCTTAACTGCAATGTTTTGGATGAATCCTAGAGCATTGCACTAATGTGATTACCTCACTCCCAGTTTTGCATCAGAAGTGACATTGTATATTGACACAATGCTAAGTATCTTGTCGTTGTCCCCAGTTCTCCTGCTGGGGTGCCAGCTAGGGCTAGGGTTGCCAGCCCTCAGGTCTGGGTGGGGGTTTCCCTGCTTCTAGGGGCTTCAATATGCCCCTGGCCAGCTGGTCAGTGAGGAAACCCCAACCCAAGCCCCGCCCCCAAGTACGACCACTCACCCGGCCACCCTCTCCCTTCCCGCCTGCCCGATTTAAGAGGCTTCAGCTGATCGGCAGGGGCCATGTGGCCCGCTGATCAGCTGAAGGGCCCTTTAGATCTAGCAGGAGGAGAAGCAGAGGGGCGGTTGCAGGACGTATGCTTGGCTCGCAAAAAGGATCTTTTTTGGAGATTCGGGTTGTCTTAATTCTAATCCGTTGAGAACAAAGTCACAATTCGTCCCCTTCATTAATAATCCATCAGTTACCGTCTTTGAAAGACGTGTATTAGAAGACATTGAATATATAGAACAGAATAGATTTCCTGTTATGTATAATCTTATCTGTACACAAGTGGATCTTCTAAAAAAATTTTCACAAGATGCTTCAGTTATTTTTAAGGGTGCAGATAAAGGGGGTGGTATTGTCCTCTTGGACCGTCAAGATTACATCAATGAGATAACAAGGCAACTTAACGACTGCAATTTTTACCAACGGATCACATATGATCTGACTGATGAAGTTTCCAACATTATTAAAATTACTAGTTGAGAAGCTTTGGATTACATCACCCAGCAGACATCTTCATTCTTGATCAATCCACATCCACACGTTCCTCTTTGTTACGTTCTTCTGAAAATACACAAGCCTGGGATGCCACCTCCCGGACACCCTATTGTTTCAGGTTAAGTGGTTAAGACGCTGAACTGCAGGCTGTGGAAGGTCGGGTAGTTCAGCAGTTCGAGACCCGAGTGTGCTGCATGACGGAGTGAGCTCCCGTCCCTAGTTCCAGCTCCTGCCAACCTAGCAGTTCGAAAGCAAGACATTGCTAGTAGATAAATAGGTACCACTTCGGTGGGAAGGTAACAGCGTTCCGTGCGCCTTGGTGTTTAGTCATGCCGGCCACATGGCCACGGAAACGTCTTCGGACAGTGCTGGCTCTTCGGCTTGGAAACAGAGATGAGCACCGCAACCCTAGAGTCGGATTCGTCTGGCTTTCGAGCAAGGGAACCTTTACCTTTACCTTTTACCAATTCAATATTGGAACCATTATCTCAATATGTGGACTCCTTTTTACAAACTTTTGTAATACACTCTTACTTGCAGGACACGAAAGACTTTATTTCCAAAGTCGAAGGGCTTAAGGTTATCCATCTCAAGAGATTTAAAGGTCCCTCCAGCTGATTGGCGGTCCACATGATCCCCACCGATCAGCTGAAGCCCCTTTAAATCAGCCAGGAGGGGAGGGAGTGGGGTGGCCGAGTGGGTGGTCAGGTTTGGGGGCATTCACCCATTCACCCCTGGAATGCCTCCCAACCCCCCCCCCCGCCACCGGAGTGACAAGGGGACCTGGCAACCCCAGCTAGGGTTGATAACCCTAGCTGCATTTTATTTGTTGTATTAATTTTTAAAAAATATATATGGCGCACTGAGAAGTTCTCCTTCTTTTCAGGAGCTTCAGAAAGCATAGCCTCAGGCCTCACCTCATGTTTACTGGCTGGTCCAAGTCCCCAAAATACCACTAGGTGGTTACCTCATCATCAGCCCTAAGTCCTAGCTTCATGATGAATTCCTTGCTTGGTGCAGGTTACTGTTTTGACCCATTGCAAGTGATGCCCGAGTTCCTCCAGTGTTTCCTCTCTTAGAGATCCCCTCAGACAAGATGCCCATTGCTAAGGAGAAACTTCCAGAGATCTGTGTAATTACAGGCCCAGCAAGGTCTGCACAGATCAGGGTGCCTTCCTGTTAACTTCTGGCTTTGAATGGCCTTTAAGAAAGCCTTTTATGCAGCCTACATCCTGGAACTAGTTTACATACAAGTCAGAGAAGGGCACAGAAATAGTATTTTTGGAGCAAGATTTGCCTTAATTATGTCTGTTTAAAACCCGAAACCTGAATATGTGCTGAAATGATTCAAGGTGCAAATTAGTAAGCATTACTGCAGCACAGCCACCATTCATGTTAATAGAGCCCTTGGAGAAGCCCTGCTGAAATGAATGAAGGATGCCACAGTTCTGGCCCACAAAGAAGGGCTTTGTCATTGGTCTCAGTCAGAGGACAGCTCTGGTTGTACAAAGAGATATGGACATGGAGCTCCTTCAGTGTAATTACTTTATGCTTTGGAAATGGAAAACCAGAATAGATATAACTGAAATTTCTAAATGTGTCACAGAACTCGCATGCCCTCAAGGTCAAATCTACAAGCCATGTGGGAGAATGGAAAGACACACGTGCTATAATGGGTGAGTGATTTATTAAGGCCTTATATGCGTAAGTTGATTCAGCTCCCCCATGAGATTTATATCGGTACATATAAAGAGTTTGTCATTCTTGCCTATCCTGCATATGTTCATTTGGACCGATTTCACACAAGAGCCGCGCCGCAGTCGCACCTCCCTTTGCCCTGCTTCTATTGGTCAATTTCCCACTCAAAGCTGCGTGGCCGCATTTTGACCCGCGGCTTCGCCCAATTTTCCCCGCGGTTTTGTGATCCTCAAAAAACGGGATCACAAAACCGCGGGGAAAATCGGGCGAAGGTGTGGGTCAAAATGCGGCCGCGTGGCTTCGAGTGGGAAATTGACCGATAGAAGCGGGGCAAAGGGAGGCGCGACCACGGCACAGCTCTTGTGTGAAATCGGTCTTGGTTATTACTCTTGTGATCCTGGGATTCAGAGCTATATTGAATATTCACCCTCAAAAGTCCTTGAGATTTTTTTTAAAAAAATGTGCTTCAAAGTAATATGAAAAACACCCCTCGGCTTTTCAGCTGTTTTTCGCACCTGTTCACAAAGATTATTACTCGCTTCTCTCTTTATAGTAATTTCTGCAGTTAGGCTCAGTTCTGCTGATTGGCTGGGGCCAGAGTTATGTGATCGCAGCCAGTCAGCAACAATCATGTAATGAATGTGATGACATAATGGAACTGAATAACCAATCACATCACAAAGCCATTTTACCCCCAAAAGGCCTAATCAAGCTCTTGTCATACCAGAATGTACACTGCAATTAATATTTTGATGCATGATGTGGAAAGTATCCGAATGCACATTCAAGCAGGCATTCCAATGAGGCAAGGCAACTTCAGCACTCAGATGTACATTCTAACGCAAAACAAAATGCCTATGTGTTATATTGCTTCCTGTTTAGCCACACTAACCCATGGTGGTTTCATTGCTGCAGTGCAGCGTGACACAACAGGGTGTCCAGATGCTAAGGCAATGGGTTTGTGTACCTCTCTTCTCCACAAATAGCTTCATGTCCTTTACAGTAGCTCTCCAAAATGGACCGTTTTGAGGGATGCTAGAATGTTGGGTGCATTAAAAATCCAACAAAACAAAAATTCTGTTGTGAGTGTGTTCTGACCGTTTCATTGGAAGATGTTTCCAAATTTCACAACTGCTCTGGTTCAACTACACGATTGATTTTATGGGCGTTGAAAAGTACGCAAACGGAGAGTGATTTCAGCAAGCCTACTTTATTCTATCCGGAACAAGACGACTTGGGCTGGCTCGCAGGCCGGTTTATATCTCCCGAGAAACCGCCACCCAAAACACACCCCTACTTCCCTATAGGTTATTTACAGTGGCCGAGAGTCCCATAGGCTCTCGGCCGGGAACCTAGCCCCCTGATTGGAGCGGGCTAGGATCCGCATAGTCCATTGTCTCTTGAAGCGAAGCTCGGCATTTGTCTCTGGACTTGTCTGGACTGGATACATTACAGGCGTTCAGGATGAAGTTGTGATAGTCTTTTCCTAGACCAAAATAATAAAATTTGATGGTGAGATTGTGGCTAGGTTTTGTGTATAAATGCCACAAAATTACATAAGAATTGATGAAACAGGAAAACCAGCAAAGGAAACGGGAGGAATGGAAATGCTCACAATGAGTATGTATGAAAACAGAAAGAAATGAAAAAATGACACAATTGTAGTTACACTCTTGTATGGTCTATAGCACTAACTGAATTGTGGAACCCTTTACTCAGTGATAACTTGTACGCTGTTGCCATAATCCCACAGGAAAAGTGCTGTCAGCACCGATCCACCACAAGTTGACATCTCAGGAACACTTGCTGAAGGATGCTTCTGCCCCGAAGGAATGATTCAGTTGAATGACCATGACAGTATTTGTGTTTCTGCTTGTGGTAAGAAATGAAGGGTATTGTGAAGAATAAAGCTGGTCCAAATTGCCATGTGAAGGTGGACACTGCATCCTGCTTCTGCAGAAAACGTAGGTTGCATTGTGAGACAGTCAGGCTGTGGAAGGATGTAGACACAGCAAGGCGGGCAAAACTGGGGGAAGTATTTTTATTTTATTTATTTATTATTAACATTTTTTCCCCGCCCTCCCTGCAAACGGGCTCAGGGCGGCTTACACAGGGGCACAAGCTCATACATAAAAACAGTATAAAACAGTAAAACGATTAAATCACAACAAAGCCAGAATAAAGTGCTCCATACAAACAGGATGGTCTCCGAAGATGGTATCAGCCATTTAATTAGGGTGATATTGTCCTGTTGATGCACCAAAGCCAGTCCAGCAGTATCAGTGCCATGCAAAATTGTGGCAGTTCTCCCAGGGACCGCCCATAACCCCGTCGTTTTCTCCACCCTTGATGGTGGTAATAATGGTCGTGGTGGTCGTGGTGGCCCCTATATAAAAGCCTGGCGGAAGAGCTCCCTCTTGCAAGCTGTGCAGAACTGCATAAGGTCCCACAGGGCCCTGATCTTCTCCAGGAGCTCGTTCCACCAGGTGGGGGCCGCCACTGAGAAGGATCTGGCCCTGGTTGCAGCAAGCTTTGCCTCCCAGGGGCCTGGAATCACCAGGCGATGTTGTGTCCCCGACTGAAGTGCTCTTGGGGGTATATGTGGGGAAAGGTGGTCCCTCAGGTAAGTTGGACCCTGGCCATATTGCCAGGTCAGCCAAGTCATATTGACTATTACTTTGGATATCAAGTCTCACTGTATTTATTGGGGCTTATTCCCAAGTAAGTATGTTTGGGATTCCTGTATATGTCCCTTGAGAATCTGTATATGTGAGCACTGCTTTTGGCCTTAGCTTTCTCATACATACTATCCGGCAATCCTGGGACCCTAAGATATGATTACGGCCATGCTTTTGTAACTTCCTTTTTTGAAATTATGTTTCTAATATTCTAATCCTCTTATTCTGTAGGCTGCAAAAGACCGGATGGTCTATTAAAACAGGTAAGGACCAGAAATGCTGTGTTTTACAGGTGAATAGAATAACACATAAAACCTTTGAGCCCAGGGGCACCTTTAAGACCAACAAAGTTTTACTCAAGGTATAAGCTGTAGAAGTGTGCATGCACATGAAAGCTGATCCCTTGAATCCATTTAAATGCCCCTGCAAATCACTCCAGCTTGTAACGTTTCATGCAGGAATGGTTTATACATTTATTCCCAAACTTTTTGAAAGCTTCTAAGTCATTCTTGGATAGAATAACATGCATTAATGCCTGAAGTCCTACTAGAAATATGCGGGGGTTCATAAAAACCACGAAGGCTGCGGTCACAGGTGCCAGTTGAAGCGGAGGGAGAGTGAGGCTCTTTCCTCCAGAGGAATCTGACATGCAGTTGCAAAACCGCACCTCCTTTGGTAGCTGCAGGCGCAGCCCATCACTATGTGATCAGATGCAACTGCGGGTGAGTTGGGTTGTTGTTGTTGTTTTTGCTATTTGTTTCCCATGTGCATAAATGAGGAATCACACCTCCACCCTGAGGAGCCCCCTATGGAGTATGTGATGATGCACATACTGCGAAGGGGGAGGGGAATGGCACCAAGCCGGGATGGCCTGATCAGACCATCCCAATGGCATGAGAGCGTGCTTGCGCGATCAGACAGGAAAACCCGTCCGTGGCCTGTTGGAACCTGGACTTTCCTCTGTGTCTTTTAACGCTGCTTCTGCAGCGAAGCAGCATGGGTTGCCAAGGACTGCGGGATGCTTCCCAGATGTTGCTGTCTGATCACTCTCTGAAGAAGGAGGAGAAGAAGAAGAAGAAGAAGAAGAAGAAGAAGAAGAAGAAGAAGAAGAAGAAGAAGAAGAAGAAGAAGAAGAAGAAGAAGGAGGAGGAGGAGGAGGAGGAGAAGAAGGAGGAGAAGAAGAAGAAGAAGAAGAAGAAGAAGAAGAAGAAGAAGAAGAAGAAGAAGAAGAAGAAGAAGAAGAGAATGGATCTATACCCCACCCTTCACTTGGAGTCTCAGAGCGGCTTACAAACTCCTTTCCCCTCCCCTCCCCACAACAGACACCCTGTGAGGTGGGGCTGAGAGAGCTCTTGACAGAAACTGCTCTTTTTTTCAAGAACAGCTCTTGTCAGAACTACGGCTTGCCCAAGGTCATCCAGCCAGGTGCGAGGAGAAGAAGAGGAGGAGATTGGATTTAGACCCCACCCTTCACTTGGAGTCTCAGAGCGGCTTACAAACTCCTTTCCCTTCCCCTCCTCGCAACAGTGACGTGGGTGGGGCTGAGAGAACTCTGACAGAAACTGCTCTTTTTTCAAGAACAGCTCTTATCAGAACTACGGCTTGCCCAAGGTCACCCAGCCAGGTGCAAGTGGAGGAGTGGGGAATCAAACCCGGTTCTCCCAGATTAGAGTCCGCACACTTAACCACTACACCAAACTGGCATCAGGCATTCGTCGCACCTATGTCGGATCTAAAGGCGCATGTGATTGCAGCCTATTATTATTATTATTTTTTGCTATGAATTAGGTGCCAAGGTAGACAAGGGTTTGGCCACAAGTTGCTAAATATAGCAAGCACAACCTGACTCTAACTGTATCATTCCCAAATGTTACCTGCAGGAAACAAAGTTCCTAAGCATGCCAGAATCTGATTTAGATCGAACTTCCAACCTGACTCGTGGCTGGATATCATCTAGTTTTGCCCTCAGGGGATAGCTTTCTTGATACCTAATTTCTTCTTGGTAGGAATAATGTTGCAAATAAGATAATGATTGTAAAGCATTTCCAATTAAATAGGGGGCGGTCACAAGAGCGAGATAAAGTGGGGGGGGGAGCAAGGCTATTTCCTCCGGAGAAATTTGACCCGCAGTTGTGCGATCACACAGTCCTTGGAAGCTGTGGGCACAGCCCGCCACTGCGTGATCAGATGCAACCGCGGGTGAGTCGGGTTGGGGTTTTTTGCTGTTTGTTCCCCATGCGCTTACACGAGGAATCACATCTCCACACTGAGGTCTCCCAGTGGAGTTTGCAATGATGTGCATACTGAGAAGAGGGGAAAAACAATGGCACGGAGCCCGGATGGCCTGATCAGACCATTCCGACACTATGAGAACGCGCTGGAGCGATCAGACACGGGAAACTCCGTCCGTGGCCTGTTGCGACCCATTTACTACCGGATTTTCCCCGGTGTCTTTTTACTCCGCTTCTGCGGCGGAGCAAAACAGGTTGTGGATGGGTGCAGGGCGCTTCCCAGATGTTCGTGTCTGATTGGCCCGGCATTTGCGCCTATGGTGGGGCTAATTGTGCGTGTGATTGTGCCCATATTACTAATGATGTCAACAGGGTGACATTTAGTGATAATCTTGTGTGCTAAACTTATAATATAGAAAATTGTCCTTGGCTATAGACATTAGGGGGTGAAGGCTGTGACTGAAATTCCTTCCCAGAATTATTCAGTGAAGTACCCTGATTGATGATTATTATTTTTTTGCTTGATATATATGCAGCCAGGAGAAATATGGGAAAAAGATTGTCAGATCTGTACCTGCAGCAACAAAACACTGAACATCACTTGTTTACCCCACATTTGTGCAAAGTCCCCACCAATTACTTGCACAAAGGAAGGATTTGTACCTATAGTACGTCAACATTCAAAAGACCCCTGCTGTACAGAGACAGTGTGTGGTAAGTTTTCTCAATTGTAGAATAAAAACATACACATTTTAATAAGATGCTGAACTGCAGGCTGGAAGGTCAGTAGTTCAGCAGTTCAAGACCCGAGTGCCACAAGACGGAGTGAGCTCTCCACTCTGGTCCCAGCTCCTGCCAACCTAGCAGTTCGAAAGCAAGGAATTGCAAGTAGATGAATAGGTACCACTTCAGTGGGAAGGTAACAGCGTTCCGTGCGCCTCGGTGTCTAGTCATGCCAACCACATGACCACGGAAACGTCTTCGGACGGCACTGGCTCTTCAGCTTGGAAACGGAGATGAGCACTGCATCCCTAGAGTCAGCTTTCGAGCAAGGGAAACCTTTACCTTTATATGCAAAATACATGTAACCTTTTCTGTACTGTTTCTTTATGAATATGGAAGATGGATAATCCCAGATTTTATTCCCAGAAAATTTGGTACCAGTCTTTAATAAATAAAGATTTCCCATCTTCAAAAAAAAAATTGAATTCCCTTATTTTATCTATTTATTAATTTACAGAATGTGATGTAAAGTCTTGTACTATGCCCAAAAGGGAATGCAACCCAGGCTTCCAGTTAGTAACAGCAACTTCTGAAGGTGGATGTTGTTCTATTTATTCCTGTGGTGAGTACCAAGTTACCATAATTTTTTTTTAAATTGGAAACAGAATAGGAATAAGCAAATATTCCCTATTTCATTTAGTTTTATATTGGTTTATAATTTTGTCAAAGGTCGCCAATCTCTGTAATACACTGTGGATTTTGAAAATCCATCTTTGTTGTATATGCATGTTATATGGTTTTCATCCAGAGCATATACAGAATATATAAATACCATGTATATCACCCATACATATTATTGTGCATAATTTATGATGTTGATTTATTGACATATACTATTGGGAAAATGCACATATTATACAGAAGAAAGCTCAGTGTGAGAAAACAGAAAATGTTACAAAGAATCATGGTTTCGATTCATAATTTTGGACTGAAAGCACTAGAGACGAAAAATCAAAGTAGCCTTTAAAGTAGAATTTATTCACAGAATCCCAATATTTTGAGGAGAATGATATAGCCTATTGATTGTGATGATCTGACTAAAAATACTATTTGCCACCATGGTTCTTTCCAAAATCTGAATAGCAGAAAACCAAGAAGAAGAAAAATCTGTAAAACCATGTAATAGTAAACAAGAAGACGCCAACGTTTATAAATGTGTTCTTCTTTTATTTTACTTACAGTACCAAAAGGTGTATGTGTATCTAAAGGAACTGAATATCAGGTAAGGACTGCCACCCACTGCTAAGGCATGGCTTTAAGCATTCACTTGTCATTAGAGAAGATTCCCGATATGACAGCTTTCCATTTTTAAAAATCATCACCAAGTATATATCTCTCTGCAATCATATTGAAGTGTCTGGCCTTTATGATGCTGTTGGCAGCATTGTTCTAATTTATAGATTTTCTCCATTATACTTTGGCAGATTTAAATATTTCTGTTTTGGAAAATCCTTCTATAATACCCTGTTTTCCCGAAAATAAGACCTATCCCCAAAATAAGACCTAGCGGGATTTCTATGCCTTTGTGGTATAAGTCCTAGTGTGTCTTCTTGAGAAAAAATAAATATAAGACAGTGTCTTATTTTCGGGGAAACACGGTACTCTTGTGGGGGTGTTTTATTTAAGGTTCCCTGGGCGTTTAATAGCTAGAAGCCATTTACCTCTTGTGTCTCCTCCTGCTGTACAGACTAATGAAGCCGTGTGCATGAATATATATTTCTGGTTTAGTATAAATTTACTTGACAGAATTCCTCACTCTGCTTACCTCCTTTAAGCCTGGATCACTGGTACCTTTAAACTCTTGTGAGGAATGCATTTGTACTGAAACCAAGGATCCTGAGACCCAAATCAACCAAATTACGTGTACTCCAGTAAAGTGCTCCACAGAATGTCCACAGGTAAATACTCATTCTGCCTTCTGCCTTGCTCCGTTTCTTAGGCTCAAGTAATCTCTCGTTCTGTCCAGACCCTGTGCCATTGTATGGTCATGTTTATTAGAGCGTGGCTGCCCTCTCATTATAGTTGTTTGATTCTCCTGAGAATGTGGATCCAGAAAGGCATGGTGGGAGAAAGTTTCCTGAAGAGGTTTGTTCCACCATAGAGAAGTTGGGCTGATCCTGATCATTGGTATTTTGTTTTATTTACTCTGCCTTTTCCCATCAGGTCAGACCCAAAGCAGCTTACATAGTTCTTCTCCATTTTATCTTTACAACATTACTCATGTTTCCATTTCTTTCTCCTTTATTGTCCCCCCCCCCCAATTTTTTGTACTTATATGTTCATAGTGCATTCAGGGACAAGAGCAAAATTAGTAAGAGATATGAGACTAACATATACAGTGGGCAAAGCCAGTTTAAAATCCTGGGTTGAGGGGGGGTAAATCTGTGTAATCCACGTGCCTGTATCATACCTTATAGGTAACAGGAGTTAATTTATAACTGGGATCTCTAAGCAAGAAGGGAGGAGGTAAAGGAAGAGTATATGTGAGCGTCCAACAAATCAGTCTTGTACAATTTACTGTCAGTCACAAATGAGGCCTAAATGCAGCTAGTGTTAAACAGTATGCTGCATTTGGTTCAAGTTATTAAGCTTCATCTCAGGATACATACCTTCAGAGGAATAGAAGATAGAATTCTGTGGATTAATATGGCTACCTGAACATGAGAGCCTCCAGTCCAGTTGTCAGTACACAATCCAAAACCAGGAAACTAGAAACGAGAATCAGTGTGTCCAGTATCTACAAGCCTCATTTATAGACCTGTGATACACACTGGCCGAATCTGCATCTAGCATTTCTCCGCTGTCTTACCAAACCCACACTGGAACAGAAATTCCCATCTACATTGCATGCCACTTTCACTTTGATTGATTGTCGAATTTTATAGCAGCATCCAAACTGCATGCTGCTTTCACTTCCTTTGATCTCTGGTTTTATGGTGGCTGTTGGCATAGACTTATGGCAGTTTTATGGCCATTTGGGGGTGACTCTGCAGTCAGTACGGTGTTGGCCTGGGTATTTGAATGTGGTTTTGAGCTGCATCTTTTTTCTGTTCCAGTGTGAGTTTGGTACAACAACGGAACAAATACTAGATGCAGATTGGGCCACCGATAATGTGAGAAAAGGCTGTGACTTAGCCAGCAAGGACTGGTACTCTTTGTCACTAATCCTGCCCTCTAAATCCATTGAAGTTCTTGTCAGAACTTGTATTGAGATCTGGTAAATGTTAAAGATTCCCAGTATTCAGCACACACAGACCGATTTCACACAAGAGCACAGCTCTTGTGTGAAATCAGTCACAGTCTTCAGTGCAGTAATTATCCCTGTATTTAGGGAATTCTCTTCAATCCTTGAACCCTGATATCAACGGAGCACACTGCACTGAGTCAGTACCAGATGCTACATTCAATAAAAAGCGCATTACTTACCACGGCCAATTGCATCAACCGAATGGTTTGCTGCGGATACAAAGCTCCTTCACTTGCGGTCCAAGATGGCAAAGGCAGGAAGGCAAAAATACCATACAGACATAACTGGGGGGGAAACAGGCCACAGCTTTTATTGAATACTGCAGAAGGAATACTGACACAGCATGGGGATGGATCCAGCATTGGGCAACCCACCTGCTACCCGATATAACCCCATTCCCCCAGCCTGGCAATCCCCGGGATGCTACATGGGCAGCAGCCGCTGTGTGGCTCCCTTGCTACCTGTTGGTGAGAGACAGCCGACAGCCCTCACCTGGGTGTGTGGCTGAATATGGCTCCACCATCAGGACCCCCTGCGGTAGTTCCCAAAACGGGGGAGGTGGGCACGCAGGCACAGCCTCCCACCCAATTGGATCCATCCCAATGCCCAAACCTCCCACCAAAGCTGTGACAAAATGCAGTGAAAACAACCAAGTAAACCAAACACAAACCCATAGCAACTCAAACCCAGGGAGGCTGGGGAAGGGAGCCTGAAAGTAACTAAGGGGGAATGCTTCATGGCAACTGGCCAGATAGGTAGGGGGTGGGCTGGAACAGAAGCCCCAAGCTCTCGGACTGCCTCCCAGAGTTCCACCCCTCCAGCCAGCCCACAGGAGAGCTGGCTGGCCAGCCAGGGCTTGAAAGGCCACTAAGCTGGCTGGCCAGCCAGGGCTTGAAAGGTTCCCACCCCCTCCATGCTCCTGAAGCAGGCTCGGAGCTGAGGTCACTGCTGTAGGTAAAGGTAAAGGTAAAGGTTCCCTTGCTCGAAAGCCAGTCGAATCCGACTCTAGGGTTGCGGTGCTCATCTCCGTTTCAAAGCCGAAGAGCCAGCGCTGTCCG